GGGTGAAGGGAGACGTTGGACAGGACAAGATATGACAAAATAGTAACTTATAAATTGTCTAGGGTTCATGAGGGAGGGGGCAGCAGGGAGGGACGGGAAAAAATGAGGAACTGAGGCTAGGGGCTTAAGTGGAGAGCAAATGTTTTGGGAATGAGGGCAATGAATGTACAGATGTGCTTTACACAATTGATGTATGTATGGACTGTGATAAGAGTTGTATGAACCCCTAATAAAATGATTTTTTTTAAAGAATAGTTGTATGAGCCCATAATAAAATGATTTTTTTAAAAGAAAAAGAAACAAAGTTGGCTAAGTCTGAGTTTGTTGATATTCAGTTTCAGCTCATGAGGTAGGAAAGGATCTGATACTTCATCTGGTTGCTTCACAGAAGTGTACATTATACAGTGGACTACAGTATACTAAAGTGGAAGTGCCAGACCTCCTTTAGTATCCTGTAGAAGAAGGTATCAACAACTTATGGATATTGACATGTTATAGTGAATTTATCAGCACAGACCGATAGATCCTCACTTGAGCCGACCAGAGGACAGTCCTTTTATTTACCACAATGGTAACAAACTTGTGAAGGGAACCGCAACATCACCAACAACTGTTGTGATTGCTAATTTGTATTAAGTCAGATTTGACTGTAGGAACTGCCCTAAGTGAATTAGACACCTAACTACAATGGGGTTGATTGGGCCCCATGGTGGTAGGAACCAAGTGGCAGCACTTAATTGATGAAGACAAGGGGGGTGTGGTTACTGTAATGGATAGCAAAGCCAAAGCAGTAATCACAAGTCTGATTTATATAGAATAAGTAGCATTGTCTACTTAAGCATGGTGTCTGTAAGAGTGAAATAGATGGGAAATATAGTAAACATTTACTTAATCTGTACAAACAGAAAAATTCTAGATCCATGAATGGCAGTCTAACTTAAATCACCAGAATATAAAGTGTCTCAGCTTTTTTTATCAATTCCAAGACTTGAACCAGTTACAGATCCACAACAACTTGAATTAAAGGGAAACCAGGTTCCCTTGAGGAAAGACTCCAATACATTTTCTTTTTTTTTTTTTAATCATTTTAGAACATTTTTATTTATTTTACCCATTGTTTTTTGGGTTTTTTTAAATCAATTTATTGGGGCTCATACAATTCATCACAATACATAGATCAATTGTGGACTCCAATACATTTTCAAACTATACTGTTAATCTTTTTCTTAGTCTTCCACAAAGAGATCCATGCCCTTTTATGAGTAACTACTCATTGGAGAAAAGGAAATAATTAGACTTTTCAGGGATTATTGAATTCTGATTCTGAATTGACACTTTTCCCAGGAGACCTAATGTCACTATCATCTGGCAGTCAGAGTAGGGGCAAGTGGAGATCATATAATTAATGGATCTTAGTTCAAGTCCATATCACAGTAATTGAACCCATCTTGTAGTGATTTACCCCTTTTCCAAATGCTTAATTGGGATAGACTACAGGCAGAACCCTCACACTGGGTTTCTGACATGTGGGGTAAGGGCTATTACAGTAGGAAAAGTGGAAGCCATTTGAACAGTCCCTCCCTGGTTAAAAAAAGAGAAGTAAACAAAAGCAATACTGAATTCCTGGAGAGGTTGCAAAGATTAGTGCCAACATCAAGGACTTGAAATATACAGGGGTGGTGATGTCCACATGGTTCCCAATTAATTTACCTATTTTGCCCAATACAAAAAAGTGCCTGAATCTTAAAGAAGGACTGTGGATTACTGTAAACTTAACCAGACAGTGACTCCAGTTGCAGGCGCTGTTCTAGATGTGGTTGCCTTGCTAGAGCAAGTTAATACTTCTCTTGGTACCTGTTATGCAGTGACTGGTCTGGCCAATGCCTTTTATTTAATTTCAGCTTTGAAGAATAACCAGAAGTTTGCCTCAGTCAGCAAGGCCAGCAATATAGCTGCACTGTCCTACCCCAAGCATGCAACTATTCAGCATGATGTAATAATTTAATCTACAGGGACCTGCTTACCTTTCCTTTCCACAAGTCATACTGCTCCATTATGCTAGTTTAAACTAGTAAAGAAAAAGTATCAATGACTCTAGGCTTATTGTAAAGCATTTGTGTACTAGATGGTGGGAAGTTACTCTCACAAAAATTCAGGCATTTTTTCAACTCAGTGAAATTTCTGGGGGTCAAGTGGTGTGGAGTATGTCAAGATACTTCTTCTAAAGTTTTATTTCATATGACTTATCCCACTACAAAAATAGGAGGCACAATGCCTGGTGGGTCTCTTTGGATTTTACAGGAACATATTCCTCATTTAGGTGTGCTACTCGGGCCTATTTTTAAAGTAACTAAAAAAACTGCTAGTTTAAGTGGAACCCAGAGCAAGAGAAAACTTTGTAATAGGTTCAAGCTGCTTTGAAAGTCACTCTGACACGTGGACCGTGTTATCTAACTGATCCAATGGTGCTTGAAACTTCAAAAGCAGATAGAAATCCTGTTGAGGGTCTTTGGCTGAGACTCTTACTGGTCAATCACAGCCCAGACCTTTAGGATTTCAGACAAAGTCTTGTCATTCTTTGTAAATAACTACTTGTCTTATGAAAAACATTTGGCTTGTTAGTGGGCTTTAGTAGATACTGAATACATAACTTTGGGCCACTAAATCAATGTACAGCCTGAATGTAATGATGCATGTGGTAGTTACATCATCTTGTGTCAACTTGATAGAGTCAAGATAGAGAGGGTGGAGTCTAACCTGTAAGTCAGGTCACAGCCTGATGGTACCTCCTTGTGGGGGTGACCTTCTCATAATGAGGGTCCTGGGAACAACCCCACCACCACCACCACCACCAGCTTTGCTTCACCTTCCTGTTGATGAGCCACTTTGAGCCACACTAGATGGCAGCCAGAGCCCTGGAGACGCATCCACTGCCATTGGGTCTACAAGACTTTACACCCACCAGCCTGTGCTCTTCCTGCATTCTGCATCATTGCATGTGGCTGCATGAGTCTGAAGAGTGTTTTATGAAATAGTATTGGACTTATGTAGTAGTATCAGATTTATGGGCTTGATCTTGTCTGGGATGTTTGCTTGATATATAATTACTTCTTGATATAAAGCTCTCTCTTACACATATATATCTCTGGATTTCTCTCTCTAGTCAACCTGGCCTAACACAATGCACTTTGTAGAAACCAGTTATCCTGTTTCCTCAGCCACTCCTGTCATTGCCTGATCGACTCATTAACAAAGTGACAATAGTTTTAAGACTAGAGGTTATGCACAAACTTAACATGAACTTCTGCTCACTGAGGTCTTTTTAGCAACAAACACTGCTGAGTGCTCAATATGCCAGCAGCAGAGACCAACATTAAGTTCCTGCTGTGGAACCATTTCTTCGACTGATCAGCCACCAACTGGTGGCAGGCTGATT